CGGTGTTCAATGTTAAAAAGGTATTTGTCTTCGTCAGCTACCGGGTGTTGTTTTGCGTGTTGATTGACTTAGTCACAGTATACTAACAAGTATTCATAGGCAATAATTCTCCGAGAAGTTTTATACTATGCAGATTGGGAACAGTATAGTGTATGTAAACAGTGTGTGAGCACTTTACAACTGGTAAAAACGTATCGTAAAAAATTGCTAAATCCCTGCAGCTGGACAAATAAAGATCACGCTTGTGGCGGCCGCTCCCTTTGGGGTCATAACCCCCCGGTCGGGAGTTTGTACAAATACAGGCTTGAAAATTTGCCCGACGCGCGTCTGCTTGTTATTGCCGGCCCACCAAACGTCTGCTATATGGGATACGGCCATTTGCTATTCAAAAACATAGGCAATACCAACTTGCCTCATAAATGCAGAGGTCACTTGTATGAAATTGTAACACACAATCGATTGTAATTGTGTGTTGTGTAATTTTAGCCCTATCTAGACTCGGCGGGGGGGGGGACTAAAATGCCAATGCCAACTTTGATATGGGATAACGTCCGAACGGCTTGTGCTACGGCCACCGAATTTTGTGACTTTTCCTAAATTTTTGTTGCCAATCATTTCTTAGCAATGAGTTGAATTAATAATTTTTCATGTTGACATTTTGACTTAAAGGTATCCAGTGCAGTTTTTAAGGCTAGGAAACCAGATTTTTCAAAGTCAATATTCTAGTCCTTTATCTACATACTAAGTAGAAACAACTCTGTCCCAATGTACAAAAGGTATATCGACATTCGTGGAGCAAAAATGCCCCAAATTCTGACAGAAAATGGTTACTGCAAGGGCCCTTGGCTGTTTTTTTGGGGATCACCCCGAAAATAGAGGACTCATCCTGGGGCTTGTTTCTGGAGTTTAAATGCCCAAAGTCTGAAATACTGATTCAAATGTGCTAATGTAAAGCAGTATGTGTCACTATCACAAAGATTGCCTTAATAATATTCAGAATATTTCCAGTTTTGCTGCCCTGAAAAATCGCTTTCTAACATAAATAACATCTTACATAAATTCTTGTATTTTTATCAAAAATTATACATGATTTAAGCTAATTTGATGACGTTATTGACCAAACTCCAAAATGGTGGACTATATCATTAGATCAGGTGCATTCCGGCCATTTTCCTTTAAATTTCATCCAAACTTCGATTTTCTTTACAGAAAATGATATTTGGACCTCTTTAGTCTATTTCCATTGTAGTTTTGGCTTTATCTTGAAAAAAAAAGAATTTTCTTAAATTCAATATTGACGATTCCAGATGGCGGATAGTTTAAATATGAATGACGTCATTACTTTGGGCAACATACGATTAAGTAGACCTTAACATTCTATCATAAACAATTTTTTGTTAAACTTGTGTTGTATACCATAAAGTTTTAAGAGAAAAACGGTTTTAGGCCAATCAATCACATGAATTACGTCATGATGACGTCATAATACTTTCAGTAAAAATTGTTGATAAGATTTATCATTACTAGTACACCATACTCTAAAAGTTGGTGGTCATACGATATACCGTTCAACTTCTCGAGTTCTGAGGGGGAGGGGTGAATGAGCCCCCCCCCCCCATCAGTCCCAAAGATCCCAAAAAAGCCCAGTCTAGATATAGGGTTAACAATAGTATTCAGCGCTCTTTGTGGCGGTTCCATGTACTTAAGTGTTTTACGATCAATCGATAAACAGATGTTATATTTGTATATTCAACTCACCCCAAACAAAAGTAAAACATGACAAATGTTTTTTTTTAAACAAAACCTTTAGAGATAGACGCTTAACTCATCAGAATCTTGGACACCGATTTTACCGATTCAAATCGGCTGAGATCGCGACCAGGCTACTAGGAAATTCAATGTCTTCTTTATCACCGCAAGCGGATCATGTTAGTAATTCTCCAAGACGGCAATCTCTCCTCCGACATACCCATTAATTTCAATTGCAAAAAGTGTTATGTTATCGATTTTGAAAGGTTGAACCTATAGTACAGCCTTCGATATCCTAAGGTGTTTGGTATCTTTTAGGATATGTCCCAGCTGTCTGACACTGTCGACGCCTTGAAACGCAACATTGACGGAATATCGCAACTGTCCGACATTGTCGACGCCTTGAAACGCGACATGGGCAGCGAGCGGAACCGGACAGCTGCCCCGATGAAGTGTGTTGGCGAGACAGGTAAACAATCTTTTTAGTACAATTGACTTTGGATCAGAAGGTTGCTCCAAAGGCTCCTGTTGAAGATCCTGATGAGGCTCGATGGAAGACAATTCCCTGGGCAAGGATATGTGGGTGATTGCTCGAGCTAATAGTTAATGGCGATAGCCCGTGCAAAGAGTTAAGGGAAATAGTACCGACCGGGACTTGGGGACTAGAAATTGAGGGCGATTGGCCTATAGCCATAAGTTGGTGCAGTAGGGGCTGTACGAGCAACCTCCATGGGGGAGCTCGAGCTCTGCCATGGGGGTTGCTCGTACAGCCCCTTCTCAAATGCCGTTTAACTAATAAATAATTTGACCATTTTAACAACATGCCAAAATACATTTGTACAAAGTAAGCTAGCAAACTGCTTTAGAACAAGTTTCTGAAAGGACCCTAAGAAAAACGCTCATTATGGGTTCACCACTCCACGAAGTGGTGGTGAACCCATATTGCTTTTTCTGATGTTTCTTCTCCTCCTCCTTCTCCCTCTCCTTCTCCTCCTCCTGCCATATCTTTAAATGGATTCAGCTTCTTCATTTTAGGGCCTAAGGTCCTGAAATTTGGTATGGAGGTACAGTGGGCAAATACCCCTAGGCGTTTTTTAAATTTTTGTGATACAGGCTTTTTAGAATGGTTTTATTTGAGTTTTTGGCTGTGTTATAGCAAATGTATTACTGTGTTAGTGTGCCCTGTTTACCACGTCTGGGCATGAGTCATCACAATGGAATGCAGGGCATCAACCAATAGGCATGCAGCTTTCCTCTATACTTCTTGCTGATTGGCTGTTGGGATTTAACTTGATTAACACCCGCACAGAGCATTTCCACCTGCACAGAGCATTTCTTGCTGATTGGCTGTTGGGATTTAACTTGATTAACACCTGCACAGAGCATTTCCATACTGACAGTATGTCTGTATTCAAGTGTTTTGGTAGGTATTTCAAGCTTTCCTGCTCCAGCATTGGAATGCGGGGCATGTAACGTTTTTTTTTAAATCAACAGTTTGCAATATGCAATTAAAAATCCTAACCAATAAAGTAGGGAATAGCTATCCAACTGTTGTTTTAGTTGTATGTTACTTCATATT